GATGTGCCTAAGCATTTCTTTGTGGTTATTAGAGAGCAGAGGCCCTTGCTCTTCATCAGGGGAAGAGTCTCTGTGACAGGAGAGGAACAGGATTTGCAGCATCCTAGGGACTATTAGAATGTGTGCCTCTTGGGATTAAACCCCTATTTCTCACCATGCACAAAAGTAAAAGTGGATCAAGGCTCAATTCTCCCTCATGTTGGATTAGGTCCCAACTTCCTTAATAAGATTCCTATAGCACAAGAATTAAAATCAAGAATCAATAAATGGGATGGACTCAAAGTAAAAGCTTCTTCTTAGCAAATAAACAATCATTGAGTTGAATAGAGAGTCTACAATTTGTGAAGAAATTTTTACCACACATAGGTCAGATAGAGCCCTAATCTCTAGGATATATAAAGAACTCAAAAATCTTAACACCAAAAAACCCCCCAAAAAACCAAAAAAACAAATAAACCAATCAATAAATAGGTTAAGGAACAGAACAGACACTTCTCAGAAGAAGAAAAGCAATGAATCAACAAATATATAAAAAATGTTCAACATCTCTAGCAATTAGAGAAATGCAAATTAAAACTACTTCAAGATTTTATCTCACTTCAGTCAGAATGACAGTTATTAAGAATGCAAACAAATATAAATGTTGGCGAGGATGTGGGGGAAAAGGTACACTCATACATTGCTGGTGGAACTGCAAATTGGTGCAGCCAATATGGAAAGCAGTAAGGCGATTTCTTGGAAAACTGGACATGGAACCACCATTTGACTCAGCTATCCCTCTCCTCGGTCTATACCCAATGGACTTAAAAACAGCATACTACAGGAACACAGCCACATCAATGTTTATAGCAGCACAATTCACAATAGTTGAACTGTGGAGTCAACCTAGATATCTTTCAGGGTATGAATGGATAAAAAATGTGGCATATATACACAATGGAATTTTACTCAGCATTAAAAAAGACACAGAGACTAATCCACAAAGCTACAACTATCTTATATTTGATAAAGGAGCTAAAAGCATGCAATGGAGGGAGGATAGCATCTTCAACAAATGGTGCTGGGAAAACTGGAAATCCATATGCAACAAAATGAAACTGAATCCCCTCCTCTCGCCATGCACAAAAGTTAACTCAAAGTGGATCAAGGAGCTAGATATCAAATCAGAGACTCTGTGTCTGATAGAAGAAAAAGTTGGCTCCGATCTACATATTGTAGGGTCGGGCTCCAAATTCCTTAATAGGACACCCATAGCACAAAAGTTGATAACAAAAATCAACAAATGGGACTTACTTAAACTGAAAAGTTTTCTCTCAGCAAGAGAAACAATAAAAGAGGTAAATAGGGAGCCTACATCATGGGAACAAATTTTTACTCCTCACACTTCAGATAGAGCCCTAATATCCAGAGTATACAAAGAACTCAAAAAATTAAACAATAAGAAAACAAATAACCCAATCAACAAATGGGCCAAAGACCTGAACAGACACTTCTCAGAGGAGGATATACAATCAATCAACAAGTACATGAAAAAATGCTCACCATCTCTAGCAGTCAGAGAAATGCAAATCAAAACCACCCTAAGATACCATCTCACTCCAGTAAGATTGGCAGCCATTATGAAGTCAAACAACAACAAGTGCTGGAGAGGATGTGGGGAAAAGGGTACTCTTGTACATTGCTGGTGGGACTGCAAACTGGTGCGGCCAATCTGGAAAGCAGTATGGAGATTCCTGGGAAAGCTGGGAATGGAACCACCATTTGACCCAGCTATTGCCCTTCTTGGACTTTTCCCTGAAGACCTTAAAAGAGCGTACTACAGGGATACTGCTACATCGATGTTCATAGCAGCACAATTCACAATTGCTAGACTGTGGAACCAACCCAGATGCCCTTCAATAGATGAATGGATAAAAAAAATGTGGCATTTATACACCATGGAGTATTACGCAGCACTAAAAAATGACAAAATCATAGAATTTGCAGGGAAATGGATGGCACTAGAGCAGATTATGCTTAGTGAAGCTAGCCAATCCCTAAAAAACAAATACCAAATGTCTTCTTTGATATAATGAGAGCAACTAAGAACAGAGCAGGGAGGAAGAGCAGGAAGAAAAGATTAACATTAAACAGATACATGAGGTGGGATGGAAAGGGAGAGAAAAGGGAAATTGCATGGTAATGGAGGGAGACCCTCATTGTTTTACAAAATTACATATAAGAGGTTGTGAGGGGAATGGGAAAATAAACAAGGACAGATATGAATTACAGTGGATGGGGTAGAGAGAGAAGATGGGAGGGGAGGGAGGGGGGATGGTAGAGGATAGGAAAGGTAGCAGAATACAACAGTTACTAATAGGGCATTATGTAAAAATGTGGATGTGTAACCGATGTGATTCTGCAACTGTATTTGGGGTAAAATTGGGAGTTCATAACCAACTTGAATCTAATGTATGAAATATGATATGTGAAGAGCTTTATAATGTTTTGAACAACCAATAAAAAAAAACACCACATGAAAATAAAAATAAAAAAAAATAAGTTATACTCATTACATTTACTCAAATAAAAAAAAAAGAACAAAATCATGGCATTTGCAGGTAAATGGATGGTGTTGGAGAAGATAATGCTAAGTGAAGTTAGCCAATGCCCCCCAAAAACAAATGCTGAATGTTGTCTCTGATATAAGGGGGTTGACTCAGAGTTGGGTAGAGAGAGAGAACATGGGAGGATTAGATTAATTCTAGATAGAGAAGAAGGGTGGGAGGGGAAAAGGAGGGGGCAGGGTATTAGCAAGACGAGTGGAATGTGATGGACATCATTATCCAAAGTACATGTATGAAGACTTGAATTGGGTGTCAACATACTGTATATACAAACAGATATATGAAAAAATTGTGGTATATATGTGTATTCAGAATTGTAATAAAAAACCAAAGTACATGTATAAATGCATAAATTGGCGTGCACATACTTTATAGAGATACAAAAAACTGTGCTCTATATGTGTAAAAAGAATTGTAATGCATTCCACTGCTGTAGTGTATTTATAACATAATAAAATCAATAAAATATTTTTGTTGTAAAAGGGCACAATACCTTTATTATATTTATTTTTATATGGTGCTTAGGGTTGAACACAGTGCCTCACATGTGCTAGGTTAGAGGTCTACCATTAAACCATACCTCAGTCCTGTTCCTTCCTTTTTTATGCCGGCTTACTCTCCATATGCTCTCTTTCCTTTTAAATTTTTATTTATTTTCTGCTTTTTATTAGTCTAATGAAATTCACTCAATTTTCTATAGGAATGTATATATATATATATATATATATATATATATATATATATATATTTTTTTTTTTTTTTTTCCTGTGGCCTTACTCCCTTACCCTTTTCTATATCAGGGCTTGAGTGAGAAGGATAGTTTACCTCCCTGGAATTTCAGATGAGGCAGGGGTGGATTGGTCACGCAGAGGGAGGTGGGTCAGGTGCCCCAGCCAGGAGGGCTCAGCAGCTGAATTCAGGGTAGGGCTGGGCCAGGCCATGGCTCCACTAAGAGAGTGAGAGGCATAAGGAGATCTGTCAGCCACTTCTGGTTGGATATTCAGTTTTGGAGGTGACAGTCTCACCTGGGAGGGGTCTCCCCACCAGAGAGGCAGATGGGCAGACTCAGAAGAAGGAGATTGCACTGCCATGCCACTGGGACTCTGCTCAGTGGGCTACCAGGTCACAGGTCAGCTCATCAGCCAGGTTCTTGCTGGGTAAGATTGGAGGGATAATTTAAAACTGAAATAAAACTGAGAAGCTTGTATGTTTTTTTCTTTTTCTTTTTTTTTTCTAGAAATAAGTAGCCAGAAAACATTTCTTTAAACCTTTTCCTACAGTAGAAGATAATCCAGTGAACTCATCTTAGCAGTGTGAAAATAAAGAGATGGTCCTCTATACTTAAGAAAAGGGGTTATAAAGGGCTAGGGATGTGGTTTGCAGAGGGCTTACCTAGCATGAGATCAATCCCCAGTACGAACATAAAGGAGGTGGGGGGTTGGTGAGTTAAGTACTTTATATCAACTGTTACATTTTTGGAATCCCAAAGTATTTCATACATTTTACATTAACAACATTTTACATTGTTGTTTTATGGTTTAGGCATTTATCTGAAGCCATTTAGAAAGCACTTAATATAGGTAAAAGATAAAAAGATAAGAGGTATTTATTACATGTCATAAAAGAAAGTACATATTAACCTCATTAGTATTAGGATAATTTATGTTTATACAAGAAGAATTATTTGTAGTTCAATGAATGGTGTTTCTTGTCAAAGCAGCTGAACGGTGATCATGATGAGCTGGAAGAGGACAGTGCTGAGGTTCGGTGTCCCCTGCCAGTGCTGTTCAAGGATTCTATCAGTTTTCTTTAAGGAGCCCTGACCTGCACTTTGTCACCACTTCCACCCCCTCCTCCTCAAATGGAAGGCAAAGTGCACCTTGGGAGGGAGAATGCTCAGGTCAGGGTGAGATAAGCTTTCTGGCCCTGTAACTGAGGCAACTGAGAGTCCAAGGTCCCTTTCAGGATCTTGCTCACTTGAGTTACCTGGGGCAGGGGCTGGGCTGGGCTGGAGATGTGGTGGTGGGAGGCAGTCTCCTGGCACAGCTAGCCTCTCTTCCTCTAGGAAGTTACTAGATTGATGTTACCAGATGGCAGGGCTCATGGCTTTATCTCTGCAGTTGTGATAATGAGACCCATAAGTAAAATTTATGTAGCACAGTTCTTGATACTTAGTAGGGATTCAATATAATTTTGTTTTTTTCTTTCTGTAAGATTTTGCTGACATCTCTAGGCCTCAGAGAGTCTGCCCTTTGGGCAGGGATTGGTGGTGGCATTGTGGGGTGTTTTTTCAGTGTTCCAGGAAAATTTTGGGCACCTTATTTTTGCTGCTCTGCTCATGCTGCCTTCTTCCTGGTAAAGGGAGCAATGTCCAGAGGGCAGGGCACACTCTGCTCAGGCTCCTTTTGTAAGCTTTTGCTTTAGATGGTGGAAAGGAGCCAGAGAGGGTTGCTCCTCTGACTGGGAGGGCTTAGTGGGGTCTCCATGTCAGAGACTCTACAGAGATTACAGCAACTTATGACAGGCACTGCTTTTTCTCCCCTTCTTGGACCAACTACATCTTGGAATTGAGGAATTTGAGCCCCCAGCATTGGACTCAGAGGCAGAGATTTGGGCTCTGAGAGCAGCTTGGCAGGTGCAAATTCTGAGGGCAAATTTGGGGTCTGATGGGGTTCTTGTGACTCTGAAATTTCTCCAGCTGCTGTGTATAGAGACTCTCCAGGAAGTCACAGCCTTTCATAGGTGGGAGAAAGAAAAAACAGGTAAGTTGATATGAAGGCATCTGTTCCCTAAGAGGAGGAAACCAGGGAGAAGCTGGTGGCAGGAAGCAGGATGGAATGAAGTGGTGCCAGAGGTAGTGGGGGTGGGCAGGTGGAATAGTCTTGTTGTAGGAAGATCCAGGAGAAGCTAATGAGGGTTGTTCCTGTATTCATTTTTTTTAGTGGTTTCTGTAACATTTTCTCAGACCAGGCTCTGTTCTAATTACATGTAGCGACTATAAATTCACATCATTTTTATTACCAACTTGGGAGGTAGATGTTGTGACTATGCCCATCAGACAGACAAAGGAAACTGAGGTCAATAAGTTCATGGAGAGAGTGGCTGAGTCTGGATGGAAGCTTAGAGGTTGGGTCCCAGAATTCGTTCTTCCTGATACCACAGATTGCCTTCTCCCTCTTCCTTCCAAACAGTAGGTGGTTTGGGGGACTTTTCTCTCACCAACACTCATTATCTCTATGCTCTGTCTCCAGATAGGTGTCTTACTTCTTAGGCAAAAAACTTTCTCAAAGAAAAAGAAGGCAAGGACAAACCTGTTGGTGGGGAAGTGCTTGGTACCTGCCAAATGCAGTGCCATGTCCTGAGCCCACAGTGGAAGGGAGTGGGCTGAGATTTAGGTTTAGGGGAACTCCACATCTAAAAGGCAGAACAGGGTTCTGGGCTCCTGTGATGGGCACCACAGCCTCCTTGAGGATGTGTCTGTCAATGACACTTCCCAGGCCAAACCTGGGCATAATAGAGGGCAGAACAAGAGGCAAGCAGGAGCTGGATGTTCTCCCTGGGGGATCATGTTCTCCCTGATCCTGGGACCTCCTTTCTGGGGGGTCATGAGTGGTGGGTGAATAACAGAGAGATAGAGGAATGGCTTTTATCACAGAGTTCCAGGTACAGGGAAAGGAAGAGCCTGGTGTTCTGGGCCCAGCAGAGCTGCCGGGTGGTTGGGGGGGAAAAAAAAGAACAGTTTCTTACCAGGTAACTCTAAAGCTTTCCTGGTCCCACAGTCTTCCCAGAAGAGCTGGAAGGACTCTGGGCTCAGCTGTTTGTCAGTGTCAGGGTTGTGGGAGGCCCAGCACCCTGTTGGTATGATGTGCCAGTAGGAAATGCTTTGCTCCAGCAGGGGACTGCTGTCCAGCCCTGAGCCCTGCTCTCTATGCTGAGGTGCTGGAGCTCTGGGCTGGACCTGCCTCCTGCCTGCAGGTCTCGGCCCTCATCCCCATCTCTCTCCCCAGCTCTAAAGATATGGAAGGGCGCTGCAGTCGCTCCTTGCTCTGCTGTCTCGCTTCCCTGCTTCTCCTTGTCCAGCTGTCCACAGGTGAGTGTCCCCATCTGTATTCTTTTGTGGTTTTAAAAATTAAGATAGAGGGCTGAGGATGTGGCTCAAGCGGTAGCAAGCTTGCCTGGCATGCGTGCGGCCTGGGTTCGATCCTTAGCCCCACATACAAACAAAGATGTCGTGTCTCCAAAAACTAAAAAAATAAATATTAAAATTCTCTCTCTCTCTCTCTCAAAAAATTAAGATTGAAAAACATTTGAAAATTCATCTTCCTTCACTTTTTTTCTTGCCTTTTTTTTGGTGCTGCAAGCATTATTCATTCATTAATTTTATTCCTCAAATATTCAAATGTTGACTGTGTTAGGTGCTATTCTATGAAAGAATCAGACAGAATTTCTGTTAATAAGTTTACCTTCTAGCAGGAGAGAGTTAGTAATAAATGCTCCTTGGCATAGAGGCCTAAGTGTGTTGGAGGAGATGACTGTGATGGGAAATGCAGCAGGGCAGGGTGTGGGCAGTCAGGGGCATGGGAGGCAGGTGTGCGAGGCAGCAGTGTTCAGTGAGGTGGTGTGTAGATGGGAACATAACCCTGGAGAAGGAGGAGTGAGCTGTAGGACCGTTTGGAAGGAGGGTTCCTGCAGGGGGAGGAGCCTGTGCAGAGCTGGCAGTGTGCTGAGGGGTGAGTAAGCTCAGAGGCCAGTGTTGCTGGACTAGAGCCCATGGAGAGAGAAGCAGCAGGTGAGTTCAGAGGGGTCTTGGCAAGGAGGGTCCACCTTGTGTGGGCTGAGGAGAAGTGGGGAGCCATGTGGAGGCTTGGAGCAGAGCAGCAACGTGAATATCTCACCTGTTAAATGGATCACTGAGGTCAGGAATTGTAGTCATTCTCCAGTTGAGATTTAGTGGTTTCTGAGACTAGAGTGGAGTGGCACAGTGTTTGAGAATAGCTCTTTGGAGGCCCATTGCAGTATGTCCTGCCTAGGAGTCATGTGGTAGCCTCAGAAGACCAAGAGCACCAATGGGGTGAAGAGTGAGGTGAACTTGCTTCTTGAACATGCAGTGATGGGGGTTTCTGTGAATGATGAGAGTAGGATTTTCACAGCAGCAAGAAGCATTTGACTCTGTTTTAAAGTGCATGTATATTTCTCTACACCTTCAATGAAGTTGAAAATTATGGACTGAAGTAAAAAATTTAGAATTGTAAGAGGGGAAATTCCTGGATGTGGCTGAATGAGCAAAAGGTGTGCCCTTTGTCTGTTTTCAGGTTTGTCCTGAGACAGGGCAAGTTAGACCTGGGGTTCCCAAGATGTGCTCCCTGGACCACCCTGGGAACTCCTAACAAATGCACATTTTTTGGCTCACTGCAGATGTACTGAATGAGATGCTATTGGAATGGAGTCCAGTAATATATGCTCTATAAGGCATCCTAGTGATTCAGGTGCATGAAATTTTGAGAACCACTGCATTAGAAATTTCTTCATCGAAGGGCCTGGGACCAGGAGACAGGTCAATGAGGGAGTGTCTTTGACATCATTTCTGGGCCACATAATATGGTCAGAATATGTCTTCCATATCCATCAGACCTCTTGGTCATCTCCTGTGGCCCCTGCCCCAGCTTTTGTGGCCTTTCTGCCTGATGGTATGTGTTCTCTTTTTTTTTTTTTTTTTTTTGGTCTGTGTCTCTCTAGCTTTCTCCCCCCATGTCTCTATCCACAGAGCAGTTCAAAGTTGTTGGCCCTCAACACCCCATTGTAGCAGTGCTGGGTGAGGATGCCATACTGCCCTGCACTCTAGTCCCAGCCATGAATGCAGAGAACATGGAACTGGGGTGGTTCCGCTCCACATTCTCACAAGCAGTGTTCATCAACTGGAACCAACAGGACCAGATTGAGGAGCAGATGGCTGAGTACAGAGGGCGGACCTCACTGGTGAGCAACCTCCTCACCCAGGGGCAGGCTGCTGTGCACATCCACAAGGTCCAGGTTTCTGACAATGGAATGTACACCTGCTTCTTCAGAAAGGCAGGTTTCTATGAAGAGGCTGATTTGGAACTGAAGGTGGCAGGTTAGTTACTTGATCTCTATTCTAAAGACCTTGGTATTACTGTGTTTGGAGGGAATATCAGGGATCATGTAATTTAGCCTCACACTTTATAGTCAAATGAAGAAAGACTGACTTATTCATTGATTCAATACAAACAATAGTTATGGAACATCTACAATATGTGGGGACTTGTTTTGTGCACCAGACATATATCAGTGTAAGAGAGAACCCAGAGATGATGAGGTCACCTTCTATAGACAAAGGAAGAAAAATCATAATAAATCATTCAGTACAACATGTTACAAGGTGAGAAATGCTTAGTTCAAAAGACCAAGTAGAACTAGGAGAGGGGTACAAGGTGTGGGCTGGGAAGTTGGGACAAGCTTCAGTGTTACATAGGGGCTCAGGCAGAGCCTTATTGACAGTCTGAGCAAGGCTCAAAAGAAGTAGGTATTTAGCCAGGTGGATATCTGAGTGGCCAGAGTTTAATGCAGAGGGAGCACGGGTTATGAAACCTTTGAGTTAGGATCATGGTTGATTTTTCTGTGCATAAGGAGGCCATCATGGTTGGTAGGAGAAGTGAGGGGGAGGATGGTAAGAAGTGGTAATAGTGGAATAAAGAGATGGTTCTGTATTAACACCACTCACAGGTGTCAGGATGAGGTCATTAGGAGTGGACACCTTGGCTGGCACAAGAGCCCTGGATGTTGTTGGGCTGGAAGGTGAAAAAACAGAGGGCATACAACATGGTGATTGTGGCTACTTGCATTCTTGAGCCCTGAGGGGCTCAGATGGTAGAGTTTGGAGAGAACTTTTGGAGAGGAAGGCAGTTACCAGGTCAGTAAAGGCTTTGTGTGCTGTGTTATGGAGTTTGGATGCAGAGTAGGGGGAATCCTAAACAGAGCCATGCTGGGAAAGCTCATGTTGGCAGCTGTGAATGGATGGATGGGAGGTGAGCAAGAAGGAGGCATGGAGTGCAGTTATGGTGTGGAGAGAATGAGTGCCTGACCTGAGGCATGGCAGTGGGGTGGGAGAGGAGGGGTCAGACAGGTTTAGAAACTAGAGTCAACTGGGTAGATTTGTGGTCACAAAGTTTGGAAGGGGAAGAGAAGACTTCAGAGACTTTCATGGTTTTATTTGAACTATTTGTTGTCTCATGGCAGGACTATTGATAAATATGTCTCAATTCTACTGCTCTGATAATGCTGTGTAACAAACAGCCACAATCTCAGGTGCATCTGGCAATAAAAATGTATTTATATCAAGCACTGAATCAGTTCAACTAATTGGGGTTGAACTTGCCTAACATCACCTGGGTGTCCTCATAAATTTTTGGTCGTGTTTCAGAAACATAATTAAAAGAAAATCTTCCATGCTAGGATAAAACACTTTATTACTGAATAAACATCAAACTAGAATATGATACGTATCATGGTTGATCTGAAAAGGGATTACACAAACAGAAATGACTTTCATCTTTCTTTTTTATAGTGAAGCATATATAATCTCTTGAATATCTGTTTTGAAGATGAACCACAACTAATCCTCATCTAAGAGGGCTAAAACAGTATTTATTTCACGTAACTTATTCTAAATTTACTTGGCATTTAGGTAATGAGCCGTGTCATAGGCTTTATCTGAAAGAAAAATAAACTTCTCCAGTTTTATGACAGCAGGTAGTTTTACAACTTGGAGCAATATGCCCAAATAATGTAGGGTACTACCTTTCCACAGAGAAGGCGGCAAAGGGTTGCTATCTTCCTGGATATTTACATTTCGAAGAAATGTTTCCCAGGTCCTTGAGAAAGGCATTCCTGAGCCACAAAGTTGACATAAAAACTAATCAGTTTTCAAAATCATGTATAAACATTTCAAAAGTGGAGAAAGTGCCTATTTGTAATTGTAGTTTCCTAAAGAAAATGGTATAAGAAAAAGGAAGAGTATCTTCTTTTATTCAACAGGGAGAATTAAGTTTTTACTTTTAATTTTTGTTTGTTCTTACAGTAAGTTGAAAAGTTCACCACATGCACCTTATTTGGGTGTGTTCATTTTTCAGGTGGTCATGTGGCTGACCTAGGGCAGCCGTATCTGTTTGACCAAGCAATGTTACATGAGTTCATCCTCCACTGGGTAGCCCAGGATTGTCCTCCTGTGGAAATGGCAGAGGGTAAAATCAAGGTGCAAGTGGTTTTGAAACCTCTGCACAAATCACAATAGCTAATTTTTCCTTGGTGAAGTCAAATCCTATGACTGGGCCCAGAGGCATAAGGCAAAGGCAGTAAAAAGTCTGTGGAAGTGGGAGAACTGTCTATAAAGAAGGATGAAATATTTGGGATATTTTAATAATCATTTTTATCACAATTGGTGCAAATTTGTGAATTCAATAGTGGAGCTTTGAGTTTGAAGTGTATGTGAGGAAACCTGGTAAAGATAACTCATGGGAACATAAGTATAGGGGAAAAGAATTCAGGAGACAAGGTGGTCACTCAATACAACTTTGTACATGATATACACAGAGAGGCAGATGTCCTAGGAGAGTGTGTGAGGTGAGAAGACTGAGATTCAAGGAGGGAGTGTGGGACCAAATTATTCCTGTTTGCTCTGAGCCTCACAGTTGGGGATAAGAGCCCACTGCCCTGTGTGGGTCCCTGTGCTCCTTCCTTTTATTCCCTCTGGTAAGGGATCTTACCCCTAGAACTCCCAGAATTCAACATGAAAGCTTCTCCCCGATGTTGTATAATATGTAGGCAACTCTGGGGTCTCAGGGCCCAAGGAGGCCTCTGGAGCTCCACAGCTTCCTTCCCACAGGGATGGGCTCTGACCCCCAAGTGCACATAGAAGGGCCAGAAGAGGATGGAGTGCGTGTGGTGTGCAAAGTCTCAAGATGGTTCCCAAAGCCCCAGGTGCAGTGGATAGACCTCAGTGGAAACAAGTTCCCAGCGCTTTCTGAGGCCCACACCCAAGACACTGAGGAGCTGTTTAGTGTGGAGGCCACTCTGGTGGTGAGAGACAGTTCTGTGGGGAATGTGACCTGCTCTGTCTTCAACCCTGTCCTGGGCCAGGAGAAGGCCATGGCTATTTACATCCCAGGTCAGTGCTGCTTCCCACTCCCAGCAGAGCTCTGGGGAGGGGCTGGCCTCTCTGAGTGTGCTGGTCTCCTGGGTGTGCCCCTGACCTGCTGTCTGCCTGGGCCACAGAGCCCTTCTTCCCTCAGGCTTCTCCCTGGAAGCCATCATTTGCTGTGATCCTGACTGTGCTGGGGCTCCTAATCTTGGGGGCTAGCTATTTTATCAGAAACGAACATTCCAGAAGGATGCAGGTGGGGCAAGAAAAGGAGCATCTGCAGCGGCTTAAGGAGGAGGAACATCAGGCAAAGGAAGAGGTGCTGAAGGCCATTGGTAAGACCACACAGGGCAAGTGCGGACCTGTGGTGAGTGGGACAGCTGACAGGGAACAGAGTCCCTGGGGTTCAGCTCTCTAGGGATATCCAAGGCCCAGTGTCCAGAAGAGGTGACTGAGGAGATCAGAGAGGACAGCTAGAGTCAGTGGGGTTGGGTGGGTGTGTAGGTAGAAATTCTAGTATCAAAGTGTTTATTCTGGGGTTGTCCAGCCACACAGTCTTTTTTTTCTCTGGGGAGGGGGTTTCACACTCTTTTCCATTTTCTTTCAGATGATCTCCAGGCAAATCTCAGTAAGTTCTACTTTCCTTCCTGAATTTTTTTATGTTTCCTTTGTAGAAGACATTCTTTTTCCTAGTTCCCCCATTTTTTGTGTTGTTTTTCAGATCAGAGGAAAACTGCTTATCTTTCTGGTAAGTGACTGTCCGGGAATTTCCTTTTTCCTCATCGTACCTGTAACCTGGGGTCTCCTCTTCTTGTTTCTGTCTAGACACAGACATGTGGGTTCCCACCCCTGGGAAGCTGATTGGAAGGCAGTGGAAGCCAGAACCCTGCTACCTGGGCTTCCCTGGATCTGCCTGGTGTTTTCCACCTAGAGCTTAGACACCTGGGTGTGAGGGTGACCCCTGGTCTGTCATGTATTCCACATCTTATTTCAACCCTGGCTTGCCCATTATATTGTTTTTTTTAACCTTCAATGGATCTCAGTATTGGTCTTCACATAAAAGTTTAAAGGCAGAAACTAAGATTTGAATAAATGATCTAAATAAGTAAATGGAATCATTAAGTTTAGGAGTGTGGCCTTCTGTTCATCTCCCAACAACTCGCCATCCAGTGATTATATTTTCTCTAGCTCCAGAAGGTGCTAATCCAAGTGGGCTGCTCACCTCAGTTGGAAATATGATTAAGTATTCCAATTACTTCCTGAAATAGTGTTCTTATTCTCTGGAAATATTTCATCTGTGAAAAGTTGGCTATTTTTACCCCAGAACTCACCTCACATTCCTGTCTTTAAATCATACTTCATTTTTGGTAATTTCCCAAATGTCTTTTTTAATTTTATTTTTTCATCTTGTGGTGCTGTGGTGTGAATCTGTAGCCTCCTGCATGCTAGTCAAGCATTCTCCCATGGGCTATATCCCCACCCCTTTCTAAATATATTTTTCCCAGAAAAAGCTTGGATATAATAGTGCCTTTTGATAATTGTGGAATGACTTATATTTTATTCTGTAAAATATATTTACACATGCTATGATATTTTTCATTAGAAGCAAAACTGAATAAAGATAGATAACGATTTTTATGAGTTTTAAGGCAGATAGTTTTCTCACAGAGAAGAAGCAGTGGGATAGTGGTAGAAGCAGCCATCTTGATCTCTGGTCCAGGGAATTTCCCACAACACACTGTGGACTCTGCATACTTTCTTTCTGGCTCTCTCTTCCTGTGGATAGTCTCATCTTTAGAATGGAGGGGAGGCCAGGGCAGGTACATTCATGATGAGCAGGCTTGTTTTAGCTGTGGTCTCACTACCTTGTGTTCCCTTTCAGCCTGGAGGAAGGCCTCCCTGTATGCAGGTAAGTGACTCTGATGTTTCCTTGGCCCTCCTCCTCCAGGATCCACCTCTGACCTCTGTATCAGTGTCCTCCTCCCAGTATGTGATGGGTTTTCCTGCTCTGCTGTCTCTAATTTGTTTCCCACCCCTCTCAGTAAACATTTTTACTTTCTCTTGTTTTTTTCATAATCCTCACACATTAATCTGTCCTGCCAAAACTAACAAAAAGCCATTCACAATAGGAAAGCAAAATTCTCCTAAATGGAGAGAAAAATGATTGTAACTTGCATTGGAAGACCACAGGGACTTCTCCTTGGGATTGAATTACAGAACCATTCTTCATTTTTTGTAAACATTTTTTTTTAGATGTAGGTGGACACAATACTTTTAATTTATTTTTATGTAATGCTGAGGATTGAACCCAGTGCCTCATGCATCCTAGGGGAGTGCTCTACTTCTAAGCCATGGCCTCAGCCCTAAATCATTCTTCATTTTTGGTAATTTCCAAAATGTCTTTTAAAATTTTTATTCTATTTTTTCATATGTGATTCTGTGAGTGAACCTGCTCTAGGCCCATCCGCCCCTGCAGGGTAGGGTTAGCTATATCCCCTGAAAAGATCCTGTTCAACTGGTATTTGTTGGTGGTGCAGTGACAATGGAGAGTTCAGTTGTGAGGAGAGCTTGGATGGAGCAGGGTTGGAACTGTGGACAGGAATTGATGATCTCCATGAAATTTCAGAAATCATATTTGATTGCTTAGGACTTACATCTTCCTAATGTGGGGCCTTGGTTCTGTATTCTCTTTACCCAATATTCCTACCCTTTTGTGTCGATGTTTGGTTTTCTTTTTCTTCCTGGTCCTCTGGATATTGGTCTTCTCTCAGCCCCCTCATACTCTAACTCACTGTCCTAGCTGGATTTCTTCTAAGCACCTTGGTTGCTGATAAATGAATTTCTGGTCTTCTGAACTTGGGGTTCAGTGTGCTTAGGGGGTCTGTGAACCACTTGAAAAAATATGCAACACTCTGTGTTTGTGTTTGTGTTACAGGAACAAAATGCACGTTATAATGTTCACAACAAATTTTTCTGCTTGTAAGATAATTTTTCTTTGTCTGTTGGGCTTGGTGTTTGATTTTTTAAAAAAATGTGTTAAGATCATTAAAGGAGGAACCTGTAGAGTTTAAAATTGTTTACCTGAGAAAGGGTGTTGAACAAATCATAGAAGAAAGAATGAGATGGGAGGAGAGAGGAGATGAGAAGGAAAGTAGAGTGCCCAAGATTCACACAATTTGGGGTGTCCTGAAGCTGTGAGAGCTGTAAAACATCCAAGGTAGTTTGAATTGTGAAGATTTGCAAGTTTTTTGTGTGCATGAAATGTAACCAACTCCTTAATATATCTTCTAGAGATTTCAGTAAAAACTTGGTGTGTTTGTTTGTGAGTGTGTACGTGTGTGTGTGTGTGTGTGTGTGTGTGTGTGTGGTTTGTGAATTCCATTAAGCCTCTTCTAAGTAATCATCTCATTGAGTTTGCCTGTGATAAAGAGACCACCTGAACCTTCCAGTAGCAGTTAGGACAGGCATATGCTAAGGCAGTTTCCAAAGCAATGAAAGATTATCCAGAGGACTCTGGGGGTGAGTTTAGGACTTGTATCATCTGAATTGTATAATATGCCCTTTTTCTCCGCTGGATGCTTCTTTTTCACATCAGGGATATAGACTGTGAAAGATAGAGAAGGGTGAGCCATGGCATGAGTTAAGCCATAGTTTAGTCATGAAGGCTTTGGGATCATATGGATGAGGAACATCTTTGAGAAACTTAACAATTTTCTAGGGAACATGTTTATTAAAAAAGAAGGATCAAATAGTCTTTTTTACCACCTCCCCATTCTCTGCTGAATTAATGTGTATATGTTTTCATGTATAACTTACATATTCTTTTATTTTGTAAGAACAAACACCATTACTGTACTACAGTCCACACTTTCATATTGACAGGTTCACAGTGTGAGGTGGACAAATGTCTGATCTTATCTCATTCATGAAATTGTAACAATGAGTTAAAAATTAATATTTTTTGGGAAATTATGTGAAGAGTGTATTAAGGTGCATAACATAGTACTTGACACATTGGAAAGTCTCAAAAGTTTTTTTTTTCTTTCTCTTCTTCACCTTTTATCTTCCCTCTGCTTCCTTATCCTCCCTTTTCTTCTTTGATAACTTCTCTGGGTTATAATGTAGAACATTATAATTGGATACCAACTAATATCTTAGTGAAAAATGAGCAAAGTTCACTTTTCTCCAAGAGTCTTCTGGGTCTGCTCAGCCATTTCATACATTTTAGTTTCTATCCAGCAACTCAACAAAAGTGGACAAACCAATGTATCTGATTAAACCTGTATTAGTGGAAATTTGGAATACATATTTAAACAAAAATCATTAAGAAAGAAAAAAATGTTGTTTAGTTAGTACTTAATTTTTTTTAATTTAGTTGCCAATGGACCTTTATTTTATTCAATAATATGTGGTACTGAGAATTGAATCCAGTGTCTCACACATTCTAGGCAAGTGCTCTGCCACTAAGCTGCAACCCAGCCCTAGTTAGTATTTTAAATATACTAATTGATCCTGAGGCTTTGCCCTGTTGGAGGCAAAAGCTTTCCAGTTGAAGGCATTTTGGAGTATATGACATGTGTAGATTTTGCTTTGGTCAATAAGGTTGGAGAAGACTTATGTGGCCTTGGGACAGTGAGGGAAGAAGGACCATGTGTTTTCTCTTAGTTATTTCAGGTCCTCACCATAAGGAGGCTAGTCTGAACTTGTTCATAAGACCCTTGGTTTGGTGTCTGCTGATGAAGAACAGGTCTCATCTCATTCCTTGTTCCCCCTTCCCTTGACCCTGAGGTAAAGTCCAGTTTCTGGGTCATTTATTCCAGGTTGCCAGTGGGCTTTTTCTGCTGAACTTCAGACCATCACTGGTTCACTGGCTCACTGGGCACCTGACTTTCACCATATAGCATAGCATGTGAGATTTTCTGGGTCCTCAGCTTCCTGTGTGCAGGAGACAGGGAGTTTCATGCTTTCTGCAAGCACATTTCTCTGCCAGTGCTTTGTTCCACATGGGTGTGTCACCTATGTGGGCATATTAGTTTTCTTTCTGCTGTCAAATTTCTACAAACTTATTGTTTGAAGCCAGCAGAAATATATTATCTTACATGTTTGCAGGTCAGAAGTCCAAGAAGGTGTGGACAAGGCTGTGTTCCTTTCTGGAGGCTGTTGTCTTATGCAGTTTTTAGAGGCCATCTGTATTCCTTTGTTTAGGGGCCTGTTCTTCCATATTAAAAGCCAGCAGCACAGCATGGTTTTGACCTTGTTTCTGTGATTCTGTCTGCTTCTCTGACCACAGCCAAGAATAGTCTCTGTTTTCAAGGGTTCATGTGATTAGTTTGGACTGACCCAGAGAATCCAGAATAATTTCCTCTGTTCAAGAACCTGAATCTTAATCACAATGGTAAAGTTGCCTAGTCATGTGTTCAACATATTCAAAATTTCTGGAGTTTAGGATATGGATTCTATCATAGCTTGAAGTTTTCAATCTCTTCAGGGAATTCTTGTGTGAGGCAGATGATTAGGTCTCATATTTTGGGGTTCTCCCATGTCTGTAAGGATGTTTTTGCTCCAATTGTTCTTTGAAAAGTGGAACAAAAGTCAGTAGTGTTGACCTCTCTCTGGGTGTATTTTATTCAGCCTCGAACTTTTTCTCTGCCATCCTAAAACCCTCACCATTACCACCTAACTGGGAAAAATTTCTCTGAGTTCCCTGCACTCATGACTTATAGTCATCCTCCAGGTTCAGCTAAGCTAGATTTAATTCTCTACCCATGGCTTGGAGTTAACTTTATAAGTTCAGCACAGTCAGTTCTTTATAGTAGAAGGAGGTCTTGGAAATTATGATAAACTCAATTATATCTCAAATAACTTAGTTTTCAGGATGGTTGTGTTTCTGTGTCTTGAGAAAGCATTATTTGGTAGCTAAATCTGAAGAGTGAACTTTCAGATTGATATTCAGCATTTCGATCCAAAAACAAGGTCAAAACCATGCTATGCTGCTGGCTTAGTCTTCTTGGGAAGTCTGCAGCAGGATGTGTGAGTGGTGTGTGTGTGTGTGTGTGTGTGTGTGTGTGTATAAGAAATAAATACAGCAGCTGAATGTTTTCACACAGCTTTTCCCTTCTTCCTCCCACATTGCTGTGTTTCAGAAGACTGGGTGCTGACCCTGATGTGTTGAGACTCTGCAAATCCCTGATATGAGGTCTGTGTTCTCTCGTAGATTGGCGGAAGGAGCAGTTCCAAGCTTGTGAGTGACTGGGTGTTCTAGATGTTCCTTATGTTGTCCTCATGGCTTCTGGATTTTCCTTAAGTTCTCTGTGGTGATTCAGGTGCTGGCATCACCAATGTTGTTGCTGTGGCAGAAGTGATGGTCACAAAACTGGTACTGGTTCTCCAGGGTCCTGTCACAAGTCTACCCATAAAATCAGCCTTCTGGTTCCTTCTCCTGGTTGAGAACATGGGTTTGAGTTATAGGACTCTTATCTCAGGAGGCTTATCTCCTCCTCAGCTCAGGCAGCTCTGTGGCTGTGAGATGGTGGGTGGCTGTGTTCTTTGTCTTGGGGCAGGGTAGGACCTTGCATGATTGATAACTCTCTCAACAGGGCCTGTCACTCTGGATCCAGACTCTGCTCACCCCAAGCTGTGTGTCTCTCATGAAAGGAAGTATCTGACCTGGAAGGACCACTCTGGGGACCTTAATGCAAAATGCAGTGTGTTGGGTCTTGAGGGCATCACATCAGGAAGATGTTACTGGGAAGTGGAGATAGAGAATAAATCCCATAGCAAGTGGACTCTAGGAGTCTGTAGGAAAGATTCAAAGAGAACAGGCCCATACATGGAATTACCAGATAGGGGTTTTTGGGTCATGGGGAAGTTTAACAATAGATATTTTTCCTGGACTGATCATGTGACTTGGTTATCTCCTAGGCAGGATCCCTGCAGGGTGGGTGTTTTCCTGGACTACAGTGAAGGGGATGTCTCCTTCTATAACATGATTGATGGGTCCCACATTTTCTCTTTCCTTCCAGCTTCCTTCTCTGGAACTCTCTTTCCATACTTTATGTTTGAGTATGGAGATGTGTCCATGACCATGTGCTCCATGGCAAGTGGCTCTGAAGCGCTCCCTGTACTCCTTAACAATTTTCCTCCTTTGGAGGAGACCCTGAGCACCCCAAAGGAGGTGTTCTGCTCAGGCTGTGGTGTTGATGGTGCTCCCCCAGAGGCTGAATCTCCATTACTTCCCTGACACTTCAAGATTTTGTCTGCATAGAGTTACTTGGTGTCCATGATCCTCACTGTGTCTGTTCCTGGGGCTACAGTCTCCCTGTGGAAAAATCCCCTGAGATGAGACTTGGAAGGCTCTGTGAACTTGTCCTCCTGTGTGGGGACAAGTGCATGGAGTACTGCATACTGGCATATGTTAATGGCATCTGAGTGGCAGGCCACTCCCCTCGCACTAGGTGTGTGAGCAGCAGGTCGCTTACCCCATAGACATAGCCCTGTGTGTGAGGCCATGTGTTGCAATCCTTATGCTTGCTCCACAGCCCAGTCCTCAATTGGTTGCTGCAAGGACAGTTAGCAGACATTGCATTGGTGGCTGCCTGTAATCTGCTTAGGTACTGCTTGAGTATACATACATGGTAACTGAACAATAAAATCAGACCTGCTCCCTGCTTTGTCTCCAGAGGTCTTGATTAGCGACTCCACAGCCACACTTTCCTCTACTCTGTTCCTTGGACCTCCTCGCTGGATTAGAGAGAGCCCATGCACTCCTGCTCTGTGTTCAGACTTCAGATGTGTGGTTATGAGAGTTCATGTCTTGTATTCACGTAACAGAAGATAAAAATTGACTGTTTTGGAACTGGTTTTGGGAATGTGGAATTTAACTATGAGGAGACATTTTGTTGGTATTAAAAAGCATTTCAGAGAGGTGTAACAGTACATACTTATAGTCCCAGATACTGTGGAGGCTAAGGGAGGAGGATCACTTTATCCTGTAAATTTGAGATCAACCTGGGCAACATAATGGTACCCTGTCTTAAAAAAAATCAAACAAAGTTGAGATCACATTACTACATTTGAATGTGTGCAGAGGAAACTTGAGGTTGAGAAAGGTATGCAGTTCTATTTTTACAGATTTGGACTATCAGATGACAGAAAGTTTATCATCCAAATATTTCTAGGGAAATGGATAGGTGTGTTAGTCACCTTTTTTTTTCTCTGTAAAAAAATATTGAAAAAATCAATCCTAAGGAAGAGAGATTTATTTTCCACACAATTTTAGACATTTCAATCCATAGTCACCTGGCTCCATTGTTTCTGAGGCAGAATGTCATGTGATGACAAGGAACAGGTGGTGGAGTAAGTGGCTCATCTCATGACAGACAGAAGGCAAGAGAGGTAGACAGAGAGAGAGAAAAGGTGGGAAGAGAGGAGACAGGAAAGGAGAGAGAGAGAGAGAGAGAGAGAGAGAGAGAGAGAGAGAGAGAGAGAGAGAGATGGAGGCCAGGGACTAGGTATAGCCTTCAAGGACACATCTACAGTTCCTACTTCCTTCCTGTTTCCTAGTCCCCACCTCCTAAAATTTCTATTACCTCCCCAAGGGGCTACCAGCTGGGGATAAAACTTTCAATGCATGATCCTTTGGAGTATATTTCAGTTCATTGTTGTTCTAAACTACAAAGAATAATAGAATTTTAAGAGAAGAGTCCAACATTTTATGTTATCTGATTCCTATTCTGGGATGAATTTGGTACCATTGGGCATGTTTTGATAAATTAATCCAGGGATTTAAGGATAAGGGAATGGATCCCCCATTAAAAAGCTATTAATACATATTCATTGTACAAAATATAGTGTCTTATTGTGATAATATCATAATGCATATAATGTAGTTTGATCATATCCCCCTTCCTGCTACCCTGTTTCATTTTCCCCTCCATTCCCATTTTGGGTCAATACTGCAACTTAGGAAAGGCAAGAATTACTAGAGTAAACATAAATGAGAAAGAGAACTTTCAGATGCAAGGTGAATTGCAGAAAGATTTGACCATGAGCATAGGTCCAGTTAGTGTATTTCCTCTTAGTACTCCCAAGTCTGATGGTAAGGGTTAGTGGAAAATCACAGCAAACAATAAGAGATGGGACTATTGAAGACTTAGACCTGCAAGAATAAAGATGTGTTCACTGTACCAGGTGAAGAACTGTGACCAGTTGTTCTGACTGGGGGAGAGAAGACACAGAATGGGAACTGGAAGATAGAAAGTACATATAACTACACAGTCCTTCTAGAAACAAGGACTGTAATAGCTTTGTGTATTTTCTCTTTGCTTGTGTTGTATATATGTGTATTTGTATATATTGACCATTTGCTTCCTCTCTCTTCTTATATTTATGCTTTTTATATACAAATTGTTATCTTTTAGGTAAAAGTATAGTCAATGAGACTGACTGAATCTGAAGAGTAGATAATATAGCGGTGTAGTGTACAGTGCCTGGGAGTGCTTCTTTCCTTATGTGGGGGAACAGATGAGAACCTCTTAATTTGTCAGGTGGCTTTGTCATGATAGATTTGTTGCTTTATGGAAGTTCAAATATTTGTAAAATGGTGTAACAGGTATGTATACATAAAATATAAAGTCAAAGGTGTAGGCAGAGTCCTGTATCATTTCATTGCATTTCTATTCCAAATCCACTCCATGTTGGTCTTCTTTGTGTTATTGGAACTGGACCTTGTAAGCATTCTTTGCCTCAGACACAATGTGAGATTGTTGGTAGAATGCACTGGAGGGGCCACTGCAATGCAAGTTAATTCTGTTTCTTTCTTTCTTTCTTTTTGGTACCAGGGATTGAACCCAGAGATGCTTAACCACTGAGCCACATCCCCAAACTTTTTTAAAAAAATATTTTCCTTCAGTTGTGGATGGACACAATGCCTTTATTTAATTTAGTTTATTTGTAATGTGGTGCTGAGAATCAAAGCTAGTGCCTCACACTTGCTTCATCACTGAGCTACAACCCCCAACTCTCTTTTAAATTTTGAGACACAGCTTTGCTCCATTGCTTAGGGCCTGGCTAAGTTGCTGAGGCTGGCTTGGAACTTGTGTTATTCCTGCCTCAGGGATTATAGGCATGGGCCACCATACTGAATGTTTTTTTCTTTTTGATGAACCTTCCAGTGGTGTGCTAAAGGCTCACCTTTTGGTCACATAGAAAGAAATGTCTATATTGATATCTTTATCTGTATTTTTGGTCACTGCTTTAGGTTCCTGAAAAGTGGTTTCTCTCCCTGGTCCCTGAAAACAGTTCCTAAAATCTTTGGGTTTTCTGATGGAGATGAAAAGAGAGTCTGTTATTATTAATAACCAGCCCCTTTCAGACATCTGAGTTTATGTTAATAAGGTAACTTTTAGAAATCCCCTGTGTCACCTCAGGACGGGGGCATGTTGTCAAGGGGTCAAATTTTGAGTAGAAAATCGAAAGAGGGAAGGACATAGGGCTGAAGGTTTGAGCAGTCACTGATTTAGTCAATCATAATTACACAGTGAAACCTCCATAAAAACTTTGAGTGAGTTTCTGAGTTGATGAACAACCTGTATCCATGTGGTGCCTCTCAAACTCTACCATGAGGACAGATACTCCTGAGCTTGAGACTTTTCTGGGTCTCGACCTGTGTACATATTCATCTGGCTATTCACTGTATCCTTTACAAGATCTTTTGTAATAAATTGGTTAGTAAACAGAGTTGTTTCTCTTGTTTTTGTGAGCCACTCTAGTAAATGGCTGTAGAAAATCATCCAATCTGAGAATGATCTTGGGAATGGAGGATGGGCCTTTGGAATGGGGTAGAAATTTAGGGATACTAAGAAAAAAACTCTATAAAGGAGAAATGTGCCTCTTGGGATGTGGAACAATAACATATGAACTGCCTCTGATCTGGACAAAGAAACTTAAGGGACAGATAGAGACCAAAATATAAAAATGTACCAAATAATCCCCTAAATTACTTTATAAGTTTCCGGTTCTGCATAAATTTTCTGGAATGCAGCAAAGCAGGAACAAGATTTTAATAGAAAGACAATTCTAACCTCATGAAGCTAGGGTCTAACATATAATTGGATCAGTCGTGTAATGAATCAGCTGAAAAAACATACAGGACAAGATTCCCTGAAGGGAAAACATTTTACTCAATATTTCCCAATCTCCAGGGAAGTCCTGTCCCTTTGGATCATATATTCTACCTTTGTACCCTAATAAAGAAACCTGACCTTAGTCCCTGGTTGTGTTTCTCTTTTTGCCCGCATTTTTCTCTGAGGGTTACTATATTCACTTTTCATTTTCTAATGATGGTCTTCCTCTCTTTGCTAAAGTCCAACACATCCTTAAGTTCTTTTCTGTGGTATGGGCAAGAGTCTGAAAGGTCTGAGTAGAGGTTGCCTTTGCTATGGAGAAACTTCACTGGATCTCCTATGGTGACAGGAATTTCAGAAACAAGTGGGTAACTTGAGGAGTCATTTTGTGATTGTCAGTAAGTCAGGGGGGCATACTTTTAAGGCTGTTGGGCTCACTTGACCTATGGGGTCTCTGCTCATTCCTTAATTGAATTATAGGACACCAGATATGTGCAGAGAGTTGGAGAATAATTTGGTGTGGAAAACTCTACACATTTGGTGTCAGAAGTGTTCTGGACGGTATTATGAAAGAGGACACCTGGTTAGTTGGTGTCAGAAGTGTTCTGGAGGGTATTATGAAAGAGGACACCCAGTTAGCTGGAGCATTACAGATCTCTTTAAACCTTACTGTTGGAATAACTTTCAGTTTACAGCTAGCAGCTAGGAGCAGCTCGGAGTCTTGAAGAATCTACACTCGTTCAGGCCTGATAGGAAGGCCTGCAGGATGGTATGCTCTGCTCTAGAGAGCCATTAGTGAAACCACATCCTTAGCACTTGTGGTTAGTATTGCCAAGCTGCCAGGCCAGGAAGCTAATAGACAGGAGCTTCAGGCATGGAACTACTAACTTAGAAACCCTCCTCCCCTAGGGACAAATACCCTTCCTGATTAGAGCAATATTTAGAGCATCCACATAGTGTGGTTACATTAGGCATAAATGATTGGCTTATGGATTCTATCTTGCTTGTGTATGATTGATGGGCACACCCGACTCAAACCCTATAACAATTGTTTGCATTTCAAAACTAAACTGAGCTACTGGAAGATGACCTGAGGTGGGTCTCCAGTCAGTTCTCTCACCAGCTCCTGGAGTCTGTGTGTTGATTCAGCATCTCTACACCCCGTCCCCCCACCCTCCCCACAACAAGATAGCCAAGTGACTAATTGACCACATCAGTGACCAGAACCACAGCAATTTGGTGCCTCAACTTGTCTGCTCTCACCCAGCACCTTGGGACTGGCCATCCTGTTGATTTAAGGTAGGATTTTGGGTAATAGACTCCATTTGTGTTCTGTGTGTTGTTGGTTCCTTGAAGGTGAGCAAGGAACCCCCTCCTCTACCCCTTTTCCTTGCCCTTGTTGTACCATTGGTACCCAAGTTGAGGCACATACCATTATAAGATTTGTTATCACCTTATGACCTCTCCTTCCCCCTGGTTCACCCTGTGAATTCACATAAGGGATGGGTCCTCCCAGAATTTGGAACCTCGGTTTTCTCTGTTAA